CCACCTCCCCCACCGCCTCCCACAGCAGCTCTGCAGGCCCCGGCTGTGCCACCTCCGCCAGCTCCTCTCCAGATCGCTCCTGGAGTCCTACATCCAGCTCCACCTCCAATTGCTCCTCCCCTAGCACAGCCCTCTCCTCCTGTCACTAGAGCTGCCCAAGTGTGTGAAGCTGTACCTGTTCACCCAGTTCCTCCACAAGCCGAAGTACAGGGACTTCCTCCACCACCCCCACCTCCTCCCTTGCCTCCTCCTGGCATTCGACCCTCCTCTCCTGTCACGGTTGCAGCCCTTTCTCATCCTCCTCCTGTTCTGCACCCTCCTCCCACAACCATTGTCCCTGGCCCTCACGCCCCACTGATGCCTCCATCTCCACCATCCCAAGTGGTTCCTGCTCCTGAACCCAAACGCCATCCTTCAACTCTTCCTGTAATCAGTGATGCTAGAAGCGTTCTGCTGGAAGCAATACGGAAAGGTAATGTTTGGCTATTAAAGGGCACAAAGAAACTTGCTAAATACACATTAGCTTTGAGAGATGGAATATTTCACGTGTATAAGAAGTTAGTTTAGAGGGATGCATCTTAAGTCTGTTTCTGCTTTCTATTCTGTACAGTATATGCATTGCCAAGTAGACAGATTTATTTTTTAATTTTAATTGCACTTATCAGATGTTTAGTTTGGATGGCAAAACTGGTTCTCTGTGGAAGTTAGATTTTTTTTAAAAAGTAACACGTGCTTATGGATGATCTGTAGAGATTACCTCTTCATTTCTGTTTACCTGAAAATGTAGCTATTTCTAATAACCTACAGATAGTGTAGAAGACAAAAACATTGGTTTGCGCAGACTGTTAGATAAAAGCAGAACAGCTCAACTGGCATTGGAATTTTGATTATTATTATCAGTGTATTACAACAACATATAAATGACATTCAGGAATCACTGCTTAAGACTTAAAGCTGTTAAGTATCTAATCTTGATAAGTCTCAACGCAGTGGTGGAGCAGCCTTTACACTGTGAGATGCCCCGCTGGCAGAGCACAAGTGAATGGCAGAGGTGCAGGGCAGTGTTGTCCTGATGATCTAGCGAGGAGCTGGGTGTACATTTCTGCCTACAGCCAGAAACATCCCTACTGCACTGTGAGTGCTGCTGTTTGACTGTGGTATCTTTGAATAGTTAATCCTTCTCAAATGTTTTGAGTACTACATTCTTCAGTTTTTCCCCTGCACCTACAACACAGTACAGAATCCATATGGTACTGTAATATCAGTAGATAAGCTACTAATTCAGAGTATTTTTAAAGCATGAATTGGTAACATCATTGAATCTAAATAAATATCAATAGCAGTTGAGTACAACAGTTGTGCATGGACATTAGAGAACATCAGCAAAAAAACTAATAAAGGAGAGCCTGCTGGTATAATTCAGGTGGTTCCTGAAAAGGCCTTTGACCAAGTTTTGCTCAAGAAACAAGAGCTCAAGTTACCACAGCTTAAATTCCACCTGAGGACCTGTGCTTGTGTTGCCTGTCAGTTGACAACAGAGAGTATTAAGTACAGGGTGCAGGTCATATTTAGACTTTCAGTTTGTGGTGTCGTGAGTATAAAACCAAAATATATAATCTCTGCCATGTTTTTAACTAAGTTACTGGATGTAACTTTCTCATATTATCGGTATGTGTTACTTCTGCTTTGTGTTTGATCTTTTAAGTAATACTTTATCCCAAAACAGATCACTGCATGATCAGAACTAAGTTACAAGAAATCCTGTCTTGTTCAGATACTCAAATAGCTAAACCTTTTAATTGAGACCATGGAGAGAGAGTATAGAAATCATTTGGAAGTGCAGATAGTAAAATGGCTTAATCACTGACAGTGGCACTAAAAACGTGGGTGTGTTTTTAATGGGAAATCAGAAGCAGGATATCATAGTAGAAAGACAAATTATCTGGTCTGCCATTGCAATTTGGACATTCCTCTCTTAAAAACCTGACAGGGAACTTCTCTCTGAGGAGGGCGATGTCCTCAGCCTTCATTTTTGCTTGCAAAGCATTTTGTGAATCATGAGCGAAATACTTTATATAGTGGCAAAGGAGGAAAGTAACAGTTTGTGATTTGGTGTTCTCTAGGTATTCAGCTACGCAAAGTTGAAGAGCAACGTGAACAAGAGGCTAAGCATGAGCGCATTGAGAATGATGTTGCTACTATACTTTCTCGTCGCATTGCTGTGGAATACAGTGATTCAGAAGATGACTCAGAATTTGATGAAGTGGATTGGTTAGAGTAAAATCATTACATTGCTGTACACTGCAAAACCGAATGCTAATGTCCATTGTGGTGCTTGTTCTTTGGAAGTTTGATGGTCATTTCTAGTGTTTTTTGTATTCTTTTCTTTACATAATTAATCCATGTTTTTCTACTTTTCAGTTTACAAAAAGCTCCTAGTGCATCTTTGACACTAAATGTTTTACAGTGGCTTTTCTTACACATCTTTTTTGAAAGAACATACTTTGTTCCAATAGACCACTAAGTATTAAGCATGGGCAGCTGTTGGTAGAGTAGCAGTTCATATTTTTTGGCATATCTTAACTGTGCACTTTGTGAATTTTAAGTTAATGAAGGCAACTGAGGTTGACATTCCAAGGGCAGCTGTATGTACTAATGAGCCTTATTCCCGTTCTGATAATGTTTTAAAACATTAAACCTAGTTATCAAGATACCACTGCCTCAATGACATCTGTACACTACAGGTACATATAGTTAGCAGCACTGAACACACTGAAAGGAAAATGGATCTTTGGCCGTTTTTATTATTGTTTTATTGTTGTTTTTAAATAATTATGGCCTTATTTGAATGTTTAGAGATTCCCTTTCCCTTCTTCCCTCCCAGGTACATATTGTGTGGTACTATTTTTGCCTGCATAATTAAAGGTTAATTTTTTTTCCCCTGTGAAATCTTTTGACTTAAACATGCTGTGTAACTTATGTAACTGTTAAAATAACAGTTTGATTTAATAAATGGTTCATTTTAAATGTTCCTGGTTGTTGCTTTTTCTGAAGCTTGCTTTTCACTGGTATACCTGAGGGATCCTTGGATTTCAAAGATTTGATCTGTGGTCTACAAAGGAACAATAAATATTCTGCACTTGATCCAAGAACCCAAATTAAACAAGGAAACATGTATCATCAAATGATATCTGTATGCATATCTTCAAAAAAATGCTGAAAAGATTTACCGTCACTGTATCTTGAGAAGGGGAGATGCAGCAGTGAAAATCATGGCTAATGAAAGATGACAAAGAACATGGGTGGTATTGCAAAGTCGTTTTTTAAGTGCTAACTAGCAGCGTACTGCACATGGTGCAGGGCTTTTGTGTTTCCCTCTCTGGAATAACTCCTTCAGGTCTGAGCACGTAGTCAGAAGCCCATTGAGAAGGGAAGTGTGAGAGAGTGCAAGAGTGCTCTTACCTTGCGCACTTGTCCCTGGCAGGTGGAATTGTATAGCAGAGGAAACAAGTGCTGAAAGTCAGAACGAGATTTCTGAAGGTGGAATATGCAGAGTTCTGCAGGCTGCAGAACAATTTGTAGAAGTGTGTGGTTATTAACCTGCTCTGGGGCAAAACTCCACAGGTACAGACTGAAATAGGAATATACCGTACAGCAGCCCTTCCAGCTCTACTGTCACCACCTTAGCCGCCACTATAATTTTGTATATGGCCTGCTATATTCGAGACTTCTTTCACTGCAACAGAAATGCCTTTGTTGTGTTTGTGAGAGAAAAATCATTGTCACAATTTGTGAAATCTGCATCTTTATAACTAAGGATGGAGTTCTCTATATGCTGTTCTCTTTGATAGCTGTCTTCACAGTAACACCATCTGGTTTTTTCTGCCATTCTCCGTTAACTTTCATTGTGCGTGTCCTTAATAGCTCATCATAAAGTTAAAGAAAAGATGTCAGAAGCACCACTGCATGAATATTTGGTAGTGTTTAATCTGGGTGTTTCCTTGGATGTCAGTAATCCTAAATTGCCAAATCTGGCCCAATAACTAAATGTGAGAGATCTCATTTACACAGCTGAAAAGGATTGATAGCTTCAAGCGAGAGTGCAGTATACACACCTGCAGCTGTGCCTTAAGCAGGGGGCCAGATCTACCCTTAGGCAGCTTAAAGAAGAGCTTGTGCCAAAATTCCCTGTGTAGGTAGTTTTGGCATTCACAAAATTATTTTTCAGCTCATGTTTATACTTGTCCCTTGCTGATGTCTCCAAACTGATTGTTCTGGTGGATTTTATAGACAGCAGCCTACATTGTCACTTAAACAGAGCAGCAGCGTGTCTGTGCCCAGGCTGCAGCTGCCCAGAGCAGAGGATCTCCTCCTCACCTGCACTGTAGGTGTTCTCTGAGTGCATCCAGGTGCTGTGAACTGGGTATAACTTGCCTAAAGCAAGGAGACAATTTCACAAAAAAAAAAAAAAGAGAAAGAAAAAAGAAAGAAGGGAAATGAAAGAAAAAAGGCTCTTATGTGACTGCAGCTATCACATACTGGACTTGAAGGTATAAAAGAAATCCTTATTGACAAATGGTTGTTATTGACCTGCTTCGCTGTCCTGGTGATTAATAATATCCCTTCTAAACCAGTACCCGGGGCAGACAAAGCACTCATTTAATATGACACAGTTGCACAAAGTAATGAACCTTGTCTGAGAAGAGTCAAGAGTTAAATCCAGTTAACATTTCAAAGGCAGGATTCTTGGCCTTCTGCCATCGCTACAGCTTCCTACCATAGCAACTGGTCTCCGGATAGCGATGGCGTGATTCACTAGTAGCGAGAGGCGGTTGTTGAATTTGAATATTTGCATTTATAGATCTACTCCAAGGAATGCATTTGCAATCGTGGTGATTTGTGTCCCTCTTCCTGGGGTCTCCAACTGCCCTTCTTGTTTGGTGGAATGCTGCTCAGAGGGCTCTTTGTGCCAGTGATTAGATCTGTAATAGATTATTGATTGCTTTGTCTTGTGAGGTACTAAATCAAGTCTTCTGTATTGAACTGTTTATAGATTCTGTTGTTTACTTCTGTAGGTTTACAGCAGCTAGTTAAACTCGAAGGCTCGAAGTCTGCCACAGAAGTAATGTGTCAGTAATGGTCAATGTAAGTGAAGAGAAACTTCACACCTTTCTTGAACTGTAATCTGGGACAGTTAAAAATCATCTACCTCAGCTACTGCAAAAAGGGGGAAAAGGAACAAAATGAAAAGTGTAGAAAGAAGAAACAAAAGGTATTCAGTGGCAGAACCAGGGCAGAAGACTAGGGAGGGGTAAAATTGGTCACTCAGGGTTTTTATCAAAAGATAAAGTAATAACAATGATGCAGCCAGCATGGACAGACCAAAATAAATAGGTAAATGGAAGAGAACAAGTACTGAAGAAACAGAAATGACAGAGACATAATTCTGGTACTTTTTTTAGTGTTACGTTGTAAACAGCAGCCATTAAATAGATACCATTAAAGTGAATACTAGACATCATTAAGGGATTATATAATCTCTCATTAAATTGGGATTAAATGAGCAGAATGCATTTTAAAAAGACTTTTAGTTGATAAGATCATCCTTTCTAGCATGTGGCACAGGGGTATGCTCCTCAGCATTCAGATGGATCATCACCTGTCTGATGCATACAAAGTTGGCTTCAAAAGATGTAATGGGATCTGAGTGTGCAAGGACCCAGATTTGTGTTCTCCATGATGCTGGGACCATCTCAGCTTGGATGCCGCTGCCACCCCTGAAGCGCATGCCCGCTTGCCTGACCTGGTGGCTGTGAGCCCTCGGACTGTGACGAGGATGCAGGGCTTTGTAGTGGGCTGCCACCTCTGTCTCCCCAGCCCATGCATCACCATGCAGAGGGAGGGAGTGTCGACACCAGCTTCAGGTACAGCTCTCTGCAGAGTTGCTAGCTCAGAGCAGGGTCCCCACTGCAGTACAGCAGCACGTCAGCAGCCCAAGCCCCGAAACCCAGCATTTGGACAAACCAGAGCAGTTCCAATAGGAGACACTGAGGCAAAGCCTCCGCACAGCCTCTACAGCCGAAGTCTGCATCAGCAAAAGATCTGATGGAAATTTGACTTGAGCTCCATCGAGTCTTCTCAGCTGCAGGGTAGAGTGGCAGAGTTTTACTCTCATTTTGTTTTGCAGGTGACAGCATTAAACGCCAGGAGAGGACTAAACTGGAGACCAGGGGCAGCGATAGCAGTCTCCCTTTTTGGGGCCACTCAGCCACTTCTTCCCTCTCCTTTCCACTCCTGAGTGCTTTTCCCACTTGAATGATTCCTGGAGGCGGCTGCTGCCCATAGATTTCTCACATATCCTTTGTGGCTGCAGCTGGGATGGACCTAACAGATACCCAGCTGCTTCTCAGGTACATCAACAGCCCCTGGTAGGTGTTGGTGCCCCCTGCCCGCCCCTTGAGCTGCCTGGGACAATGCTCCCTCATCCAATCCAACCATAATGAGCTGGGGTAGGTTTAAAAAACAGGCTCCTGGCAACCCAGCTCATTTTGACAGCACACATCCAGGGTGCACTCCTGTAAGCGACTCACCTGTCAGCTCTGAGGGCTTTATGGAGATCTGGCAACACAGGAGCAGGCAGGGGCCAGGAACCCTATCCCCATCCCAGCTGCTGCTGGACGAGGATGCACAGACACAGTCCTGGGAAATGGGTGCTGGGGTATGGAGCAGACCCTGTGAGGCTGGAGCTGAGCACCCCATCCCATTCCCACTGGAGTGATAAAGCTGATGCTGCACAGCCCATGCTTTTTTCTCCGATCCCTGCTGTACAGGGAGCAGATGTGTTGTGTTCCCCCACCAACCCCTGTGCCTGGAGAATGGGTTCTGCCACCTTAGTCATCGCCTGCACTCTCCGACTGTCAGCAGCAGCCTCTGAAGAAAATTGCATCTCTCCCATTTCTTCAAAATTCTTATTTTTAGAGTATTCACAAGCTCTAGGCAGTTGCTCCAACCACCTTTTGGCAGCTGGAAACATCTAGGTATGGATGGGAGCAGGTATAAAGCATCTCCCGCCAAACAGGGCTGGATATTCCCCTTCTTAGGTTTATTTCTCTGATGGTTCAATAGCTTCACTTTCAGACAGAAGAGAGCTGAGGGCCCCCCCTACAGACAGGTTGTTTCCATTTTCCATCTCTCTCATTTTAATGCCTTTAATGACAGGGGTTGTTATTGCAAGACCTGTGATGTTTTAACATAGCTTTGTGGCAGCATCGCTCCAAGGAAAGCTTCAGAAATTATCTCCCTTCAGTGTGATTTTAGACTCTGTTTTAGCCACTTCCACTCCTTTGTGAGGCATTTTCTTCACCACAATTTTAAAACCTCGGAACAGGGCTCCTGGGGCTCTGCGTATTACTGCATGTTGTATTATCACAGCTTGGTTTTGCACTTCAGTACCAGCCAGAAATAACTCCAGCAAACTGCCCGAGACTTCTACCCTCATGAGAAAGCAGCACACAGGCTGGGTGTTGATGTGCCGGCCTAGCTCCAGCTCCCTTTGTGCCAGGAAAATGGCGTAGGCTGTGTTTTTGGCAAAGTCAAAACCCATTTGTAAGTATGGCCAGCAGGACCAGTGGCCAACGCGGCCCCATGCGGGCGGAGAGAGCAGGCATCAACCGGCCCGGTCTGTGGGCTGCCCTCCCTCACTGGCCCAGGAGGGCGATGTGTCTTCTGGGTTTTAAAAGCCGAAAGAAGTTAGCAATGCTCCTGAATGGGAGAGGTGATGCCCACGAGCTGGCACCAGCAACCAGCAGGACTCCTGGCAGTAGTTCAGTAGTGGTTAATTAGAAGAAAACATTAGGATAACTCCTTTGCTGCTGTAGACCTTGTTCTCTGCATGGCTGCTGCGATCCAGCGCCTGCTGGGAGGAGTTTCGGTCCCGATGATTCATCTTTGGATGAATCAGAGGAAGAAAGCAGCGACTCGGCCCTTGTCTTCCCCGCAGGGAGAGCCCAGCTCTGGGAGCGACTCAGTGTA